TGCCAGCAATTAAAACAAATAAATCCTAAATTTGTTCATACATGCACCCAATCAAGTTGCCTCATGTGCACAACTTCTAACATCTCCTGGAAATATAGGGAGAAACTGAAAAGCCCACCAGCATAATAGCACATTTCAACACTCTTTAATTAGTCTCGATAGACTTAGCAGATGGAAAGCTGATTAAAATCTAGAATATTTCAACAATACCATTGCCAAGCTTCCAGCATTGGGCATCTATAAGCCCTGTGCAAATACAGACTCCACCTTCATCTCATGCAGGTATGAAACCTTTATAAAAATTGACCTCCTAGACGGCCCCAAAGCAGGCTTCCATAAAATTCAAATGAGCAGCACCATACAGACCACATTTCCCGACCACAAAGTTATATTAGAAGTCAACAATGAAAAGATAGAAACATCGACACACATTTGAAAATTTAAAATAAGCCTTAAAGTAAATCATGGGCTAAAGAAGAAATAATAACAGAAATTTAAAATCCTGCCGATTGAATAATAATAATAATAAAAATAATAATAATTGTGTTTCGAAACTTGCCGGGTGCCATCAGAAAAGCACAGAGAAGTAAATCTATAGCTTCAAAGACTGAGGCCAGAAAAGCCTGGAAGCCCCTGGGCTGAGCGCCCGAGGGAAGTTGGGAAAAGCACAGGGAGAGGCAGAGGAATAACCACTCGGAGAAGTTAATGAGAGAGAAAGTGAAGCGTCACAGTTGGCTCTCTGAAGTCCTAACAAAACAAAGGTCCCCCTGCTGAGGTTGACGCAGCAAAATCAAGGAAGACACAAATCACGTCAGAAATAAAAACAGCACAAAAGTGAGGATCTTTCTAGAGAGCCCAGAGCCCACGAGAGATTCCGTCCAGACTAAGACGCGGGCTGAGTCCTTTGTCCAGGACCCACACAGGGCGCTTCCCTGAGTAACAGACAGTGAGGACAGAATGCGGTGGAGGGCGTGGGCGCCGGCCCGCCCGCTGGCCTTTTGTCCTGGGTCCCAGGAGAGAGAAGCAGAGCAGAGGCCCGTGGAGCACGGCACGCAGACAGCCCAGCCCAGAGACAAGCAGCCGCTGCTCCCCAAATGGACTCTCCTTGATTGTGGGAGGAAACTGGGATTCGGGGGGGAAACAAGGACGAGTCGGTCTATTTCTCAAGGCGCCCTGAAGCCCGGCTCCCACTGAGCGACTCAGAGGAGCTCCCGCCCTCCCTCGGTGTCCACGCAAGCACTTCAACATCCTGCCGTGAGTTCCAAAGACTCGCTCCTGGGCGACGACCTGACACCTTTGGGTGTTGGGCCCGGATTTCTCGGCATAGCACCCTGCTCTGGCCTGCCCACGTCTGGCAACCGGATAAGGGTGAGATGCGGACATATGGAAGGTCTGCCCGCAGGGTGTTAAATGCAGATGAACTCTCGAGGCAGGGACAAGGGGGAGGGGGTTGAAAGGGCAGGGCACTTGGCATGGACTTCTGCCTTAGCTCCTTGGCGCGGCTTCGCTGTGTAAGACACAAAGAGGGCGGGGGAGGCTTAAATGCCCGTTTTGCAACGTTCGCATCGAGCGTCCAGCGCGCCCTTTCCAGGAAACCAAGGCTCAGCCTCCAGTCTGCTGCCCTGGGTGACTGTCATCCTGACACCATGACACGAAGCACAGGGCACCTCAGCCAGGAGACCCCATAGCAACAACGTGGGAGCCTCCAGGAGAGTCCCTGTGGGCTCTGAGGTGTTACTGACCGGGCGTCTTGCTGCCTGACTTGTTCCAAGGACAGAGGCTGCACGGAGGAGAGGGGACCCTCTTACAACCAAGCCCCATGCCTGACCCAACTCGGCCGAGCTAGGTCTGGGCCCGGGTCTCCGCAGGCCCTGTCTCCTCTCCTGCGCAGGGCCCTCCTCTGTAAGCCCAGGACAATGCTACCCCCCACATGTTCGAGGATGACACAGCACAGTCATACGGAGACAGACGGGCGTCTGGCTGCCCCGCCTTATATACTCCTCTCCGTGATGAGTATGTCCTACTGCACGTCTCTGAGAGCACGCTGGGCACGTGGTCTTAGCCAAAGACAGAACTGAAGCTCCTTCAACCATTCGGACAGAGTATGGAGGACCAAGAGCGAACTGGGTCGTGTTCTAAACCAAAGACAGCAAACTACTGGCCGCGCAGAACTGAGCGAGAATGAGCTGTTCCGGATGGCTGACTTCCCGAGGAGGTGGGGGAGTTTCCTCTCCAGGATCAACAAATTCCAAACAAACCAGAAGAAGCAAACAACTCGGGACATTTTAAACAATCTCTCTAATACACTTCAGAACTTGCCAGGGGCCTAAGGAGTGCATTCCGAACGGTTTTACTTTTCCTTGAAGATTTTCTAAAATATATATTTTTATTGATTTCAGAGAGGAAGGTAGAGGGGGGGAGAGAGAGAGAAGCATCCATGATGAGAGAGAATCATGGATCGGCAGTCCTCAAAGACCCCCAGCCCAGCCCCAGCCCCAGCCCCAGCTCCAGCCCCAGCCCCAGAGAGATGAGGTCGGCAGACCAAAGAACACCACTACCAGCCGCTGAAGCCACAGTTTGACTCATTCAAGTAGGTGCTTAAAAGAAACTGTTAATGTCAATAAATAAAGACACCATTTTTTCTTCCCCAGCCTGCCTGAGCACATGCAATCGTGTGTTTTTGTTTTTGTTTTTGTTTTAATTAAATGGATCCGTGATTACAGACAAAGTTCAATAAAACGGCTCCTCCCTCCTCCCAGGCTCCTGGGGGCTGTCCCTGTGTCTGCGGCTCCGGAAGGAGAACCAACCTGCAGGCTGCCCAGCGCAGGAGCAGGCCTGCCCCAGTGCTCTGCCTGCCCCCAGCACCGAAGGAAATGTGGGGACTGCGCCCGCCCTCCCCCTCCCCTCCCCCCCACCCCCCCCCCCCCCCCCCCGCAGTCCCCACTAGCAAGGGGCGTGTCCACTTTATAGGGCAGGTAGCCTTTCCTGGCGTCCCTGTGATTTATTCGCAGAGAAAAAATTAAAATGGTTCAGAACCGCCGCTTTCCCAACGCCTCGCGGAGGCTGCTCTTTGCCCCACAGCAGTTTGACCAAAACCATGTCCTGGGAGAGCCTGGACCTTTGTCCCCTTGCGGTTCAGATCATCGCTTTGGCAACTGGAGAAAGTGGCGCTGCCTTCAAAGGCTGTCTCTGCTTCCCTCTGCCCCGCCCCCGCCCCCGCCCCCACCCCCACCCCCACCCCCACCCCCACCCCCACCCCCACCCCCACCAGGAGCCCATTGACCGCTCAGCCTCAGCCTCGGCCAGGGAGGCTGCGGCTCTCCCCCGCCACTGCCCCCCAATTTCCATTAGTGCAAACGCTTCTCAGAGATAACGGACATCGCAGGGATGCTTAGACGCCCGGGGGGCGGGGGTGCGAAGTGTCCCTGAACCTGACTTCTTCGAGTTTCCTTCCCACTGGAGTCCCAGCTTCTCTCCGTTCACTGGTGGAGGGAGACACACGAGGGCACTTCGTGGGCATTGACGACGCAGCACTTGCAAGAGGGGGTGGTCCAGGTCGGTCCCCAAAGGTGACCCCAGGTGCCAGCGCGCAGGGACCTTCCCGGAGACCCGCTCGCCCCAGTGCCCGCGTGGGGGGGGGGGGGCGCAGCGCCCGTCCCCTCCCCTCCCCGCCCCTCCCCGCCGTCCCCGCGGCGGCGCTCACCTCGCTGACCACGGTGGAGTGGGCCTGGACGTAGCGCCAGCCGCCGCGACAGGGCACGAGCGGCGCCGAGCGGTTGGGGAAGGCGGCGAGCGGGTCGGCGCAGCTGAGCGCGGCGGCGGCGGCGGAGGCGTTGGCATTGGCGTTGGCGGTGGCGGTGGCGGTGGCGGTGGCATCGGCCGCCTCCAGCAGGAAGCGCTGGCAGCTGCCGGGCCCCGCGCGCTCGGGCGCCGTGCGGTTCCACTCCTCCTCGGCGCTCCAGCCGCAGCGCTCGGCCAGCGCGGCCGCGCCCGGCCCGCGGCACCAGAAGCGCTCGGGCCGGCTGCCCAGGAAGACCACGGCCACGAAGAGGAAGGCGAAGGTGACGCCCGTCAGGCACAGCAGCAGGAACACGCGCCGCTGGAAGCGCCCGAACTCGCCGGCCCGCTGCAGCGCCTCGTCGAAGGAGGGCATGGTGCGCGCCCGCCGCCCGGCCTCCGAGTGGCCGCGGGCCGCCGGCCGCCGCTTTACCCGCCGCCTCCCCGTCCCGCGCCCGCCCCTGGGCGCCGCGCCAGCCGCCCTGTCCGCCCGGCCCGCCGGCCCCCCACCTCCCCACCCCCGCCGGCCCGGGGCGCAGCCCCCGCCTCCCTCCCCGGGGGCGCCCGCCGCTTCCCGGCCCCGCTCCCCAGGGGCGCCCCGCGGGGGCGGGTGGGCGCGGAGGGGCCGGGGCGCCCGGCCTGGCTGAGCGCCACGCGCGCCGGGACCGGCCGGGTCTGCGAGTGACAGGCACAGCCTCGGGCCTGGCGCGCGGCTCCATTCGGTCCCTGCCAGCAGCTGGCGGCTCCAGGGAGGAGAGTACCGCGTCACCACTACTCCGGACTCCTCGGACTTGGCCACTTGGCCTAGGGCGGTCCGAGTGCAGCCCAGGGACCTGGCAACACGCACCCCGGGTCCGCGCCCGTGCCCTGAGTCGCTCCTCCAGCCCCCTCTCCACGGGCACAGAGGTGGCTCCACGCAGCCCTGGACCCGGCAGCCGGTTCCCAGGACCCTGAACCGATGGCACAGGCAGACCACGCGGGTTAGTCTGAAAGTGTCAGCGAAGGGCCTCTGTGTTAACTGCTACCGCCCGCAGGCTCTCCCGGCCTCGTTCTAGACCCGAGCTGTCTTTAGTGCTAGACGGAGCTGTCTTCAGCGGCTTGGTAATGCCCGCCCCTCCCGACAGGGCATGCAGGGGAGACCCAGTTTCTGGATCTCAGTGCCAGCCTCCGCAGGGAGAAGGCAGGCTGGGAGTGTTGCAGGCATCACGCAGATCCTGACTCACCTCTCACTCTGTGGGACTGAGAAACTGAATGGCGCATCCGTTGGAAACGATGCTGTGGAGACGCGGTGGTTGAGATGGAATAGTGCTCTCACAGCCCCGACGCCCGCGCTTCCGGCCTCTGGTGGAGGAGACACGCGTCCGCTCCTCATCCCCTGCGGACCAATAGGTGGTCTTACTGGGCATGAACAGCTGCCTCTCAGGAGGCACAGCCACATCGGAAAAGGCCTGCACCCTGTTCCAGAAGCCGGGCCCAGCGGTCACACACCTGGATGTCGTGGGGACGTCAGTTCGGTATAAAAGCTTCTTAATGCTGGTCACAGTTTCCGCACTTACCTGACGGCAGTCAGAGGACGGTTCACAGACCAGCCCTAACAGTGCGTCCTATGCACTCCCTTCTGTGTAAAGTAGCATACAGATGCCACCATTAAAATTCTCTATTTTACCTGGGCCCTGGCCGGGGTTTCTCGGTGGTGAGAGTGTCAGCCCGAGGCCTGAGGGTCTTGGGTTTGATTCCCAGTCACAGCATGTACCTAGGTTGCAGGTTCGATCCGCAGCCCGTAAACCAGTCACTATGTCATCTCTTTCACTGTAAAAGAACTATAAACATGCAATGAGTTTGAGGTCTATTTTCCTTAAAATACAAAGACAAAATGTATAATGTACAGTAATCCAGGTCATGTTAGTGCAGTGCACATGTTAACACACGTTTCCTAATGCCGGTGGTTGGAGGCCAGAAGATAAAATACTCAATTTTGCGAGAGTTAAAGCTATGCCTTCATGTGAAAAGGTGGAAGTTACCTGAAAAATCCAAAACAACCCCTTTTTAAAATGTGGCCCAAAGGAAGAGGATGAGGAGAGCAAGACCCGCAGGGAAATGTTGGTGTAAGTGGCAATGTTATCTGGCTGCTGGGCAGAAGCATATACAAATACAGCTGTTCTGGCTTTTTCTGTCTTTTTGTCAAATTAATTGTGGTCTAGATGGTTTTACCATTTACCTTGCATATGGCGATTGGCGGGCTATGTGTGAGACGCCATCGCAAATACTACTCTGGGAGGCCAGGCGCTGAGAGAGGCTTGTAGGTCAGGAACCAGCCCGAGGGGCACGGGGGGAGGGGGGGGGCTGAAGCGGGGGGGGGGGAGATAACAGGCCTTGGCCGCATTCTCATTCTTAGACTCTGGGGTTTAGGGTCTAAATTCTCATCCCAACCCTACAGTGAGATGAAAGGTATGTGGGACATTCATTTTTCCCAAAAACAGGTTAGGGTTAGCGTCTCTGTATGACGCAGATCTGCCTCCACCCGTGCAGAGCGCGCTGCGCGTGGCTCTCTCCGCACGGAGGGGAAAGCCGGCCGCCTCCCAGGCAGCTCTGAGCGGCAACCACATCGAAGCCCCTTCTCGTTCTCCTGGAGGGGTCCTCAGAAACGACAGGTCCCCACCTACGCTGACCGCACTCCCTAAGGCAGGCTGCCCCCATTCCAGTCCATCACCCTCCCCAGCCGTCCCTCCCTCCCCACTTCCATCTGACCGCGCCCTCCAGTAGCTCACGGAACAGACTCTGCGCCCAGGACTGTACCATGCGCTTCACCCCTGATCCCTTCTGCTCCTCAGAACCATGCTAGGTGAGGATTAACAACAACAAAAATTAAAATGACTTCACTTGGGAATTTAGTACAAATTGATAATTAGTCCATAACATTGTCATAACCACGTATGGTGCCAGGCGGGTACCATATTTACCGGGAGGATCACTTGTAGTTTATGTAATGTGTAAGCACCGGGTTGCACACCTAAACTACTATAATATTGTATGTCAGCTGTAACTGAAAATAAAAAATGATGAAAAATAATAAATAAAATAAATGACCTCACTCAGTTTATAGCAGCAGGTGGGACTAGGACCCAGGCCCACACACTATCAGACATCACTATCTCAGTTTAATTTTTAAAGTCGTTATTTCATGAATTACTTTGGGGACTACAAATGTAATATATTCTAGAAACTGCGAAGAAAATCTTTACCTTTTAATACCAAAATTAAAGTAATTTGCATAAATATGAAACCTACTTAGCCTTTAGTCAAATAACATTGTCAGTTAAGTTTTTTAGAGTACTATATAATGGGAGATTTTGTTGTAAAAATAAAGATTTTTTTTTGCATTTTAACACTGGAAAAAGAAATGATCTAATATTCCAAAGCATTATCCTTGTTTAGGAAAAGAAAAAAGGTAACCGGTTGACCCCGGGGAAGCTCCTTCCCGAGGTCACGGGGGGGGGGGGGGGGGTGTCAAGGTCAGCATTCCAGTTTCCACCACATCCCATGACCATGCAGGAGCCGGTTACTGGGGTAACTGGGTGAAGGGCACACAGAAACTCTCTGGACTATTTTTGCAACCTCTTGTGAGCCTTAAGCTATTTCAAAATAAAAGGTTATTTTTACAAAAAAGGTAATGAGGACCAGTCGGGAACACGTGTGCCAGAATCGCCTGTGCCATGGGGCTCTTCCTTTCAAGGACACGCCCTCCCTGTGCCCCAGGCCCTCCTCCGGCTCTCCTCCCTCCTCAGTGTCACAGTGGCTCTGGGAATCCCCTCCAGAACTCGGGGGCTACATCGAGTCACGGGCTCAGAGTCCTCAGAGAAGGCGTCCGCAGGGAAATGCTGCCTTCCTCGCAGAATCAATTTACAAGTGCGGGCTCAGAGCCACAGGCTGCTTCGAAATAAGCGTTCATCCTTAGATGGGCAAATAAGAAGTTCTTACTAATACAACCACCACGCATGGTTCCCTAAGCCAAGATCTTAACAGAAGGCTATGACCAGCCCTCGCTGGTTTGGCTCAGTGGATAGAGCATTGGCCTCTGGCCTGAAGGGTCCTGGGTTCAATTCCGGTCATGTACCTCAATTGCAGGCTCGATCCCTGGCCCTGGTTGGGGCCTGTGCGGGAGGCAACCAATTGATGTGTCTCTCTCACATCGATGTTTCTCTGTCTCTCCCCCTCCCTTCCACTCTCTCTAAAAACCAATGGAAAAATATCCTCGGGTGAGTATTAACAAAATAAAAGAAAAACAAAGACTATGACCAAAAAGAGGAAGAAAAAAAAGTGTGTTTCTTCTACTTTTTTACTGTTTTAGTTATTGGTGTTAGTGATTTTACTACAAAAGGCTTGTTTTTGCTTAATAAGTACAGTCATACGGGACATGTAGGGTTCTGTGTGTGCATTTCATAACACACCTACAGACACACCGGAGTGGTTCACATTCGAGAAGCTGGGCCTCCTGGTCACCCCAGCCTGTCGCAAGCACAGCTCCCGTCCCCTCACTCCCATCCTCACGGCAGCAGGCTCGGTCCTTCTCTCTTGCCTCAGGCATCTCTGGAGTCCCCAGGGCTCCCCTTTATGTGCGCCCCACATGCAGTGGACAGTTCTCTGCTTCCTCCTGTGCCCTCCAGGAGTCTCTGAGACAACAGCGGGCGGGGTCTTCCGTGCCCTGCGTAGTCACATCCCATTCCTGGGCTGTCCTCAAGCCAGAGCCCGAGTTGAAAAGAAAGGCCTTCTCCCTGGTCCAGGAGGGAGTAGCCCATGCTTCTCGGGGCGGGGGGATGGGGTGATGGGCATGAACTGAGTTTTGTCTTATATGAAACTATAGAACAAGATGGTGAGGTGGACAGGGGGCAGGCTTTTGTTTCCTGTTTCTTGTGTGTTTTTTTTGTTTGTTTGTTTTGTTTTGTTAATCCTCACCCAAGGATATTTTTTCCATTGATTTTTAGAGAGTGAGGGAAGGAGGGAGAGAGAGAGAGGAATGGGAGTGGAGGGGACTGGCCAGGCGTCCCCTCAAGCCTCAGCCGTAGTACCTACTGCTTCTCACCTCCCGTTTATCCCTCGGGCTGTGTTTGACCCCCAAATACAGTCAGGGTTCAGACTCTTTCCCACAGGCCTCCTGGCTGCAGTCAGATCAGAGGGCGTGCCTGGGCGTCCGTCCTTAACGCTCTGTCTGTGTGCCTGGAACATAGAGTGTGATAGTGCTCACCTATTCGGCCAGTGGGTACACACCTGCCTCTCAGCTCCAGCCCAGCTCTCTGTCATGTGCCAACACTGGCCTTCCCACTGGGGTTTTCCATACTCACTCATCTGCCATCTACCCTCCCGGGTAAGACCTCCTTCCCAGTTACTAAGGACCTTCATTGATGCCTCAAACCAGCCGTGGGCAAACTACGGCCCGCGGGCAGGATCTGGCCCGTTTGAAATGAATAAAACTAAAAAAAAAAAAAGACCGTACCCTTTTATGTAATGATGTTTACTTTGAATTTATATTAGTTCACACAAACACTCCATCCATGCTTTTGTTCCGGCCCTCCGGTCCAGTTTAAGAACCCATTGTGGCCCTCGAGTCAAAAGTTTGCCCACCCCTGCCTCAAACCCATGCCAATTCCTACCTATATCTTTCATCCTCTCATCTGAAATGCCATCTCTTTTCACTGCCTTCTGCCTACACACATCTACTATATAAACACACACTTATATCATTACTATCTACAACTGTGTCTTTCTTTTATGTATATATAATATTGGTTTCAGAGAGGAAGGGAGAGGGAGAGAGATATAGAAAAATTAATGATGGGAGAGAATCATCAATTGGCTGCCTCCTGCACACCCCCTACTGAGGATTGAGCCCACAACCCGGGCATGTGCCCTTGACCGGAATCAAACCCTAGACCCTTCAGTCCACAGGTCAACACTTTATCCACTGAGCCAGACCAGCGAGGGCGACGCCCATGTCTTTGTAACAACACGGCTAGAATTCTCTATCCAGTCTTAGAAATGCCACTCACTCTCATTGAGTCTAGTTTCCTTGTTGGTAAACTTGAGGTAAAGAACAGCATTAAGCCCCTCAGGTCATAGAGAGAAATAAATAAAACTGTGTAAGCTGACTATTCAGCATAGTCTTTATTGAACAAAAAGAAGGGTTCAATCAACGTGTTAACTATTTTTCAAAATTCTTTCCACTTGCAAGTTGCACTCAGTCCTCCTTCTCCAGCCTCTTTGCTAAACCCCACTTGTTTCTCTGACTCCTGAGTATCCGTGCCCCGGTCGGACCACTCTGCTCAGTGCATGCCCTCAGCGGGAGCTGTGCCTCTCCGACTGTGTCCTACACATCATCCTCCTGTCTCCTCATCGACAGCCAGGAGCACGTGGCATTACATGTTCCTCTGGTCCGTGTTTCCCAACGCAACGCCAGGCACCTCACGGCACAGTCTACAAATTACCCGTCAGCTCTTGTGTTATTTTAAGGGATGCTCCATGACTCATTCGGTGAGTCTCTTAGAATATTTATACTCCCTGAACCTCTTTTTTAAATGCTTTGCTCTAATAATATCTTCCCCACACACCAGTGGGGAAAATTAGTCTTCGGTGGATTCCAGAAACGATTCTTTCCTATTCACCCAACAGCGAGAAAGCCATGCTCTCATGCCATCAGAGTGGGCCCGACGCCTGACGCAGTGGCTAATTTCCGCTCCACTGACGTTTTCTGATGCGCTTCTGTTCCTCTGGTCCGGTCCCAGGAAGGTGGTGCCAACACCAGTTCACAGAGGAAAGTTGGCAGGCA